ATGGGGTAGGACCCCATCAGAGAAGACACAGAGGTAGGGGTAGGACCAGCACCAAGAGTTGTGAACTAAGACCAGAAAGACTCTGTGGAGGTGGCAATTGTGCACATCAAACAGTTTTGTGGCCAAAAGGAAGGTGTCAATTATCTCCCAACTAAGGTCTGGTTAGTAACATGGCCACATGGTTAAGAAATTGTCCCTCAAAAGCATACTTTCAAGTTTTAAGCCAGAACCTAAACAGAGGTTAGGTGATCATCTGCAGAGTGGAACCATAGGACACTGAAGGAGAAAAGACTCGTTACAAAGGCCAGGCATGATGGCATATGCCTGAGACCTCTGCTCTCAAAAGGCTGAGGGCAAAGAATCACTAGTTCTTGGCTACCCTGTGCCCTTCACTTTGTCATTCCAAAAGGACAAGACAAGTTTGTCAGCTCATCTGAAAATACCTTACACCAAATCTTTGCAACAGGCCCTGGCTGAGCACCTTATGTTACACGGCTTATGGCCATAGCTAAAGAGTGTTAAAGAAGATCCCCAGGGAGCATCAGACATGAGGGATACTTTATCTGAGGTTTTGGTTCCTAAACTTGAGAGAACAAAAAACATTCATGTAGGGTATTTGCCATGCCCTGCCAAAAACTTTCTATTCATTATATTGAGGGTGAGTTCTAAGTCATGGAGAAAGGATCTACTAATTAGCTTCAATTAGAGCTTGTCAATCTCTAGAAATAATGAAAAAGTGATTGATTATATATAGGAGTACAAGGACATTGCTTTTTTCTTTCTTTTCCTTTTTTTTTTTTTTTTTAAGGAGAGAATCACTATCATAGCAACACACTCGCAGACTTGACAAGTCTGAGCCATTGGTCCAGACAGTCTTCTACTGTAGTTGTGTACACTAGGGGACAGTCCTGGAAGGTAAATGACTTGCCTCAGCCCACAGAGCTGGAAGGAAGAGAACATTGTGTCTTACTTCATACTTTCTGAACTATCCAAGCCCTACACTCTCTCCTCTTTGCACTGCTGACCACAGGCATGGGAGAGAGAAGACAGCAGAAAATTTGAGAGCTAGGGGCAAGGGGTCAAAGTCCTCAAACTGATACTTTTCCCCGTTTTGGCTACTGATGGGAGAGATCAGTAGAATAGAAGATTATAATGAAAATACTCCAACTAAGTATAACTGGGGCTTAAGGGCAGAATACCACCTGGTTCAATATGCCACTTAGAGAGATAAATTATAATAATTTATCACAGAGAAGTGAGATTTAATCAATATACTCGGAACAAGAACAAATAACATTGTCCACTGACCCCATACTCATCTTCAGTATACTGAGGTGAGCTTTATATTTAGAAAAGAACTGGAGCAGGAGGTAAGAGTAATGTTTCTGCAAGTGTTCAGAAGGGTCCTCGTCACTTGAGAGAACAAGCTGGTTCCTTGGAGATTGTTGTTAGGGCTCCAGGGCACAGCCTTCTATTGTGAATAACTTCCCTCATCTGGAGGGTGGTCTGTTCTCTCAAGCTCTGCTGTTTCTGAAATCCAAGATGACCAAAGATCAAAGACAATGAGATGCCTTTAGGAGGCCTAGAAGATTGATAGTAAGATGCCCCGATCTTTCATCTTGTGCTTGTCTCCTTGAAGGAGAATGAAGGAGGATGACATAGGTTGAGTACCAGCAGTTTCTAGAGAGACACATCTTGAGTGATTTATCTATCAGCATGTGCAGGCAAGTAGGGGACCCAAAGTAAAGGAGACAAATTCAAGACAAAGGTAAAGATGACAGGCTCCAGTCTTTCCACTAACATTGTAGGCAAAGCAAGGAGTGGATGGCTTTTAGGAAAATGGGTTTCTAAGTGCTTTGCTATTTTTTTTTAAAGAATCCAGTCATTTGCCTATATTGCCCTTTTAGCCTTATCAGCTATGGGATGCCGTCTACACAGGACTCACAATCCAGCACAGAGACCGAATACTCTATTGTTAGAAGTGTGCTGGTGACAGAGTGAGGCTTCTGTGGGGACTAACTCTGCACACACCCAGAAGGTTCCGGTTTTCTGGCATTTACATTTATTTATTTCTTCAGTCCAGTTGGCATTGTAACCTAATCATTTATTGTTAGTCTCCTCAGTGTTTAGTGGCTCGATTGTATCCTATTCTATAGCTTTTCTATACCACTGATCTAAGCTGGAGCACAGCTTCCTTATCTGACCTACCCAGGAAGGGCAAATGAGTCCCTCTCTTCTTCCATCTTCCACCCTATGCCCTCCTCCTACTTTTCTGGCACTTCTTTGCTACACAGCATTAGTCAGGAATGTCTGAGCTGTTGTGTTGTTGGATACCATCTCGCTCTGAGGCAGATGCCCTCAGCAGCGCTGACCCAGGAAAACTAGCTATGGGATCTGTCCTGCCTAGCTAGCCGCAGGCAGAGGAAAGGAAGCCACTCTGTAATTTTCCCAGCAGCCTCCTTAAATCTCTAGGTGACAGCTTGGACACGTTGCCTTGAACAGACACGGAAATGAGCTCAGAGCTTAGGAAACTTGCCCCAGGTCGCAAATTAAATTGGTGTCAATGTAGAAGTGAACACAGCCTCAAACTGGAAACGGTCCAAAAGGCTGCAAGAGAAAAGATCACAGCTCTTTCCAAGGCTCGAAGTGTTCGTCTCTAAGCAGTTACTGGAAGACTGTGCCAGACTTCCCCTTCATCTTTATCCTGTGAGCAAGCGGCATAGTGGATTAGTCATTTTCTCTCTTACAGGTGACTGAGGATGTTTCTCACGTCCTACTACTGGTTTCATTGTCCCAAGGATTTCATTTGAAAGGCGGGGCACTCCTTCACTTCCCTCCACCCCAACCGGAGACTGGAGTCTGGACCAATGAAAGCATAGAACCTCATTTACTGGCACTAAGAACTGGCACTATTTAAGTGGTAGCAAGAATGGGCTGTGAACCGCGTCGGCTTTCTCCACAAAGGGGCAAGCTATCATCCGATCTGTGGCATCACTGAGCTGAAGAGAGGGAACAGAGGAAAGACTGCAGGACTCCTGGTGCCACTATGTCCTGTGAAAAGTGTGCAAAATACATCGGATACTGTCTGGTGTCGGCTGCTGTCTTCTGCATCGTAGCTAATGCTTTGCTCTACTTTCCTAATGGGGAAACAAAGTATGCTACCGAGGACCACCTCAGCCGCTTTGTGTACTACTTTGCCGGCGTTGCAGGCGGAGGCCTGCTGGTAAGTCACTCAGAACTATATTATCACTAAAACTTCCTCTCCTCTCAAATGGCAGAGTGCATTCTTCTCACGCCAAGTCTTCTTTAATGCTCATCTGTAAAAGCTGGATTGTGTCTTTGTTGCTGTGCTCTCTTTGAAAGCAGAATATTCTAAGGTTGTGTTAAAATTCGCTGACCCTATTAGATGTTGCTTTAGTAAAATCTTTTACCTTAGAGGGAACTCTCTTTTCTCAGAAGCTTTTACTTTACAGCTTGAAAAATGGTCACTTTTCACGGAGACTTGAGAGACTATCGAGTTTCTGAGTGCCAGAGCAGCGCTCACTTCTCATTTGGAGCTGAAGAGAGTTGGCTGGGCTCCGAGACAACAGTTTGGGGTCTAAATTACTCTCTGTTGCTTACTTTCAGGCATCTATGACATGGGAAAACATTTAGGGAGTGAACTGGTATTTCCTAATAACTGTAAGCGGCCTCCCGAGGTTGGAGTTAGAAGCAGGTTAGCATCTCAGTCTAGTGATGGAATGTGTTGGTTTATTCTCCCTCCCCCCTACAGATTGTTTTTAGTTGAAGTTAAGAAGAATTTACTTGGTACAATGGGAGGTGAAAGTATTAGTTTCAATCTCAACACAGATGGAATATAGACACTTTTGCCCACTTAAACTGCTAGACTTAAGAGAAACTTTAAGGAATTGTTACTGTCATAGAGAATACTATTTTCCTTGCCAACTAAGATTAAGACATTTATACCTAATGGACTCCTTGTTGCATGGCATGGGAAATGTGCTTTCAACGAAAGCATCACTATGTTCATGTTCCCATAATCAGTGCAAATACAATTCTATAAGTGAGCATAGCCACTGTCTAACATACACTTAGCATCCACTCTGCTTTGTTGCTTTTGGCCTTAAACTTCAAGTAGCTCATTCTTATGTGAAGAGCATCATTGCCGAGTTGAAATGGCGCCTTTGTATCTTCAAAGAAACAGATCATATTTTTTTTTTTTTATAAAAAATGTTCATCTTTTCTATCTACTCAAAATGTTTCAGCCATTCTACTCAAGATTTGATCTTCTACATTTGATGGGGGTGGGGATCACATTTAAAGATAGATTTTACATTTAACAGTGCCTATGGCTTCCATATAATATGTTAACATTTGTGGAAAATGTTCACATTTATTTACAGGTTGCTATTTCACGTTCTGTGCTCACCCACTGTACATGGAAACAAGCAAATGCAATCCTTTCATCTCTTCTCGGGCCTTTACATCATTAATAATATTTGGTTGCTCTAATCAGCAGACATAAATATATTTTACAGAAATGTCTGACCCCACCCATAGGAAATCAGGAAAGGCAATGACTTGATTCTGTTTGCTTCTGAGCAGATGCTCCTGCCAGCGTTTGTGTTCATTGGGCTGGAGGAAGAGGACTGCTGTGGATGCTGCGGCTTTCAAAACTACGGCAAGAGATGCTCGGTAGGTCTCCCGGTGGTGCATACTGGTGAATTCGGTTCAGTCCTGACACAGGATGGAGGCTCACTTCTCGCTTTTTCCTTTCTATAGATGCTTTCTTCTGTACTGGCTGCTCTGATTGGAATCATAGGATCTGGCTACTGTGTCATTGTGGCATCGCTGGGTTTGGCAGAGGGACCAAAGTGCAGCGATGACAATGGAGTATGGAACTACACCTTTGCCAGCACTGAGGGACAGTATGTAATTGTTCTTTACCTAGCAACATATTTTAACCACAGCACTTAAAACTAAGTTATCTATCTATCCATCCATCCAGTATTTCCTTACTCCAAATCATGCAGTATGTAAGGGTAGATAGGCAGTCATCAACCTGGGGAAATTCTAACTACTATTAAACATAGCCACTGATTTTGTGCTTACAACGACACTATGGAGGTGCTCCCGTGATTACTTTTGTTTTACAAATGAGAAAAAGAGGCAGGCAAGGATGAAGTGACTTATCCAAGGTCTCATTGTTAGAATGAACTAGTGAACCTTTGAATCCAGGCTGTCCGCTCACCTCATAGAGTTTATGCTCAGACAGTGTGCTGTAAACCTCAATGGCACTCAGGTCAAATGCAGCACATTTTACTAATTCATAGGACAATATTCAAAATCTAGAACAAACAATGATCCCACCTCACACTTGCATATTCTGAAGCGTGTATAACACACACACACACACACACACACACACACACACACACACACACCCTTGATTTAACTTACCAGGAGACAGAGCAAAGATTTTACCCACTACTCCAGCTTCAATGTAGTTAAGAGAGGCCCATTGTCTTATGTTAGGATTTTCTGTTTTTTAATCAGTTACGACAAAAGGTGCAGAATCAGAAGAGCTGGTGGAAACTGGTATCTATGGTGATGAATGAGTATAGATTGTCCTTTCCTGACTTGCCTTCTTTAAGAGAAAAGATAATTTTGTGTGTGCACGCGTGCATATGTCAGTGGAAGTTCCCACAGAGTTCAGAATGAGGTGTCCGGTATCCTGGAGCTGGAGTTACAGGTAGTTGTGTGTTGCCTGATGTGGGTGCCGGGAACTGAGTTAGTGTCCTGTGCCAGAGCAACACACACTCTTAACCACTGACTCCCTTCCCAGACATGATTCAGCTTTTAAGTTTGAATTTTGAAAGGTTCATTTTTTAAGATACAGAAACAAAAACAAAAATAAAGAATGACTATAGATTGTCCTTTATATTATCAGTTAGCCTTGGGTCTGATCTCAGCTTCTCACTCACCCTCTAAGGACAGGAAGCCGTGAGCTCATTTTCCTGTCTCTCAGTGACTTCATCTAGAGAATGGCCGTCGTCATGACCATTAACGAGGTGATGTGTGTGAAATGCTCATGTGATGGCTGACACATTGTGGGCAGTGCCAGTGTTAGCTTAGGATGAACATGAAAGAATGGCAGCCTCTGAAGAAAAGCTAGTACTTACTGGAGGTGGAATCGTAATGTCTCCTGTTGTCATCACCTTTGCTCAGAACATAATGTGCTCATAGAAAACGATTATGTCTATTAATAAAAAAAATTAAGAGCAATTTTTACATCCCTCCCACTACTCATTTATGCATCTCAAAAACAAAACCCTTTTTCTTCTAGATCATTCTTTATTCGAATCTGTTTAGGGATCTCAATAGGTAGAGTAACTAACAATTCCAAGCTACCGATTAAATTTTCAGTAGTTAAATAGAGCCAAAGAAAATTTTGACTCTGTGTGACCTGAATAACAGCCTTTGTTTTACTGAAAAGCAGAAACACAGGGCCAGAATGCCATATTTTTGTTTTGTTTTGGTTTGGTTTGGGTTTTTTTTAGGGGTGGAGTGGCGGTAGTAAGTTTTGTTTTAAATCAACAAGTTGAATCTCTTATTGGCTCAGTGTACTGTTCCAATGTTAGATGTCTGGTTTCAAGTTGGGGCAGGAAGAAGTGATAGAAAATTGTACCAGGCCTCTTTGTAGGATTAAGTTACTCCTTGATGTTCCCACGTGGTTGAATCTGACTTCACTGGGAATCCAAACACTACTCTATGGGATAGCAAGGGCTGACATTCTAAGAAAGAGATCCAAAACATGCATATTTATCTAAATATCTATCTATCTGTCTATCTAGCTATCTGCCTATCTATGCACACACACACACACACACACACACACACGAAATTTCTCATTTTGTTACATATAAAGTCACATATGACCTCAGCATGACCTGGTGTGATTTTTAACAAAGAGAGTTTGTGTTGTAATTTATCATTCTGTGATTTTTAAACACATACCATGTTCCAGATTCTGTGCTGGTGGCTGGCTGTAAGAAGGCCCTGCACCTGACAGCATGGAACTCAGCCTTGAGAAGTGGCTTTAAACAGGTCTTCTCTCAGGAAGGGGTTCTGTTTGGTTGGCAGCCTTTCACATTGTTTCCCTGATCAGCATACTTGGCGTCGATGTTCTCAATCCATGTTCTGCTGGAGTCCATGCTCTTTCAGGACAGGATGTGCCATACGGTCCTTAATTTTGCACTCATACAGCAAATCAGTAATCTTAGTCTACTAACTTAATAAAAGGTATTCTTCACTGCTACAGAGGCATGGGCATAATGCCCTGAAAATAAACAGGCTAAACTCAAATCCTTCTACTTCCTACTGTGAATTAACTTTTTGCTTAAAAATTAAAAAAAATAGCAACAAATTTCATTTGAAAATAAAAGCCTCTTGAATTTTAACTTGGCAGAATTTGGATACTTTTCAAAAAAGGAAAGTGCTTGATATCTTAATGAAATGATATTAATATCCTAAAGTTTAAAATATAATGTAAGACATATTTTCTAAATAAATAATTTACTCAATATCTTGCTCATAGACAACTATAAGCAATGATAAACCTGGGTAACAATAGAAACATCCTTTATAAGTTTACTATCCCAACCTGAATTGTTTTCATTTTTTCATATTTACTTAGTTCATAGCCATATGATACACAACACGGTTTTAAAGATGATACAGATATACCTTTGCTTTTCCTTCTCACAAGAAGTCATATGTCTTTTAAAGAATATAAAAATCTCTCAAGTGAGAATTTTTAACCACAGAATCCTAGATTAGTGTCAAAATTTGTGTTTTAATTTTATGTTTCTCATTGAGATAATCTTTGGGCTTAAACCTTCCATTTGTTGGAATATTGTTCCAATATGCGTATCTAGCACATAGTATTGTGTTAATTCATTTCTATGTTTCTGAATAAAAACCTCCAAACAATAAAAGTAAGTTATGAGATATACTCTTAAACTGTGGTGGTGTGCCTGAAGTTCCTCTTCTGTCCACAGGTACCTACTGGATTCCTCGACGTGGTCCAAGTGCTATGAGCCCAAGCATATTGTGGAGTGGCATGTGACTCTATTTTCTATCCTCTTGGCTTCCTCTGCGATTGAATTCATCTTGTGTCTCATTCAAGTGATAAATGGAGTACTAGGAGGCACATGTGGCTATTGCTTCTCTCGCCAACAGGTGAGAACTTGTGTGACTATGTTGAGGTCTAGCTCTGTAGTGGCAACAAGGCTCCATTCTTTTACTTAAAGGTAAAACCAGGAACAGGCAACCAGCCAGAACCTATTCTCACTATATAGGGAGGCATGTCTGACACTCAATTTCGGCTTCAGTACTTAGTTTCACTCACTGAGTCATCGTTGTTTGCAGATGGCTCTGTGGCCACAGGGACACTTGCCTATAGACATAGTACCTCTTTCAAGTTAAATTCCCCATATGTTTCACTCACCCAGCTCTGGTTGAGTGTCAAGATGCTTGCCTTCATTTTTCAAAGGACACAAGAATAATATCCAACACTGACTCCCTAAGATGTAGCAGTAAACTCACTTCCCATTCACATGCCTAACTCGAGCATTGAACAAGACCTCTAAGATCACTTATCCAGGTAACAGACTTCAATTCTTCAGTTATTTTATGCCCAAGCCCTTCCTTTAACCTTGGTGCAGTATTTCCTGTCCTATTTGATTCCCTGTAATTCTTTCCTAATAAAGAATAACAAATATGCCTTACCCTTATACAGTAAGCATGGAGTACAATTATTAGCCTTTGAATGTCCTTCTGAAAGAAACTTTCTATGTGAAAGAAAACCAGGAAGCTTTCATTTCCCGTGGATATGACTTAGGAATGAAATATTCACTTGTTTGTAACAGAGAAAGTTATTTTCGCTTTTTTATTGAAATTATTTTTCCTTTGTCTCCCTAAATCACGTATTATTGAACAGATGGGAAGTTAAAATCCAGACCATCTTGGGAAGTTGCTGTTTTATGTCTTATTCTTTAAAACAAGATGAAGTAAACTTATTTCACTTATAATTTCCATTTCATTTATCTCCTAATTCAATATCTTTTGATTTTCCTTGAAAAGAAGGCAAACCAAAACCAAACCAAAACAACTCCCCCCCCAAAAAAAAATCCAAAAATAATAAAAACAAACAAATGAAACCTAATAGAAACTAAAGTCAGTGCTACTGGGAAACTCTTTGCTATAAATATATGGGAAATTTCTATTCATTTTGAGAGGAAGTTAGAATTTATTTCTAGCTTTATCTATCAGGCAAATCCACAAGATTAAGAATTTCTTTGGGATCCTGCCAAATTTCCAGGAAAACAGTCTTGTGGGAAAATGACTTTAGTATGACATTGTTTTTTTAAGGCAATTGAAGGAAGGAGAGCAGAATAAAACCTTTGGAATTGATTCCTAAATGCAAACCTATGCTCTCCCTTGAAACTCAGACAAAGCAGAGAATAACCTCAGCTGCTGCTGGACTTTGGTGCTGGGGCATTTGGGGCACAGGCATAAGGAGTCTGTGGACAAAATTGGTTCAGTGTTTTGTGAGGAGAGATAACTTCCTGAGTTGGAGGCAAGCACGTGGTTCTGTCATCAGAGTCACTGTAGAAAGTGCTTCTCCTTAACATTAGAAAGATCTATTACTTTTGTTTGCAAGACAAAAGGTGCTCTCACTGGACAGGGGACTTAGTATAGGAGAGCTGACTTCTAACTTGGTAGCATTTGATTTGAAAGGTTAACTACAGTAACCCCACACCAGTGGGAAATTCCCACAGCATTATGTTAAATTACTCTCCCAACACAAACACACTACGAGCCAATTCTGTGTTAGTATCCCGAAGTTTCCATGAACACTTTTTATAAACTTTCCTGGGGAAGTAAATGGGTCTGGTTTGTTTAGGAAACATTTTTGTGAGCCTTGTCTGATCCCTAATGGTATGGGTGGCCTAGTTTTGATTAAAAAAATTATTCAATTATATGTTTGCTTTGAATAAGACTGTGCATTGTGTGTTGACACTGGTAATAAACTAATGCAAATTTTACTTTCTTTACAGCAATATAACTGCTAAAAGAGAACACAAGACAGAACCGTGTGCTTCCTGTATTTCACTGTAATTTGCAAATTTTACCTGTGTTGTGAGACTTTGCACCTTGTGTCATAGCCCACCCTTTCTGCTTTTATAAGGAAATGTGCTGACATCATGACATGATGTCAGTGTTTACATTCATAAAACAAACTTTGCTTTGAAGAACAAGGCAGCAAACTGCACTCACTCGGAAGGGATTTTACAGACTTAATGACTGTTCTCAGCATAGCTGAGATAAACTCTTCAATGTTTGAGATAAAAATCATATCTAACTATTGCACATACATGCATTTGTTCTTTTAATAAAAGATCTCTGGCTTCCTTTTTAAGACCAAGAAGGACCAAAAAAAAATTCTGAAGAGATATATTTTACTGTTTATATGCTGTTTTCCATTTGTACGTGAACAAATCTCTAAGAGACTTTCTGAAGTGAGAGAAAACTTGCCTGGATTTGGAAATCTCACTGAGAAAGCGCTAACCCAAGTATGGGAGAGGAAATATGTGAAACTGACAGCGGCCGTGAACACTACTTGAGGCTGAAGTTTTCTAGCATGTAGAAAGCTTTCTGTCCTTCAAAGACAAAGACTGTTTCTGTCAACAGGAAGGTCAAGGTAGTTAGACGAGAAGGAAAATGAGACATGGAATAAAGCAGTTGATCACCATGGTGGGAAAATGGGAGAGGTAGAACAGGGTCAGGAAACTCACATGGGAAAGCTTCCCAAACTTGCCTTTGAGCATAGAATTAAGTATTTGCTACCATTCAGCTGTGATTTTAGTTTTATGTCTGAAGTGACACCCTCTCTCATCAGGCAATTTATCGGAGTCATGTAGAGAGGACTCCTTCCTAACACTTAGAAAGTTCTATTACCTTTTCTGGAAGACAAAAGACGTTTTCAGAATATGGGCTTTTGCGTGTGGAGATCCGGTTTCTAACTTAATAGAATTTGATTTGAAAGGATACACACAGTGAATACACCCAGTAGGACAAGGCAATGGTATTGTCCACAGCTTCTGGTTTTCCATCCCTGTCTGTGGACTGTGGTCTACAGGTTGGGTGGCATCTATGCAAAGGGCTTGCTTTCCTCTGGATCATCTTTCCTGCTTTCCCTGCCTTATTCCCTCTTCTTCCTTTTCTATCAACAGATAACCATGGCTATGCTATCCTTCGAGGCTATCAAATCAGCTAAATATCTTTCTTTCTGCTGGGTGCTCCAATAATCAAAGTAGTAGGTAAGGTAGCATGTTTTTCTCTCTTAGTGCACAAACTACACCTCGTTATTTGTTTGTTTGTTTGTTTGTTTATTAATGTAAAAGGATCCCTTAACCTACTACTTGGCAGAACTACCTAGAGGGAGACAGAACTGTGTATTTGCTCACAGTTTCAGAGCTTTCAGTCTGGGGTCATGGACTGCACTGATAATAGGCCTGTGGTAAAGCAGAACATCATTGGGGTAGGAGCATAGATCACTTCATGGTAGATAGGAAGCAGGTAGAGCAAGGTGCTGTGTGTGAGACGTAACCTTCAGATGTATGTCCTCCAACAACTTCCTCCAATTAAGTCCCACTTCTAAAGTTTCTACTGTCTCCTAAAACCATTCAAGGACCAACTGTTAAATAAACACTTTCAGATAATAATGATTAAGATTTTATACAGAGGGCTTGACTTTGGTTGTTTATTGTCCTGGATAACAGACAAGAGAGTTAATAAAGGGTTTTGCTTGCTATTAGACAGGCACATTCTTCTTTTAGGCAAGGTACCTGCTGTGGTGCCTGACCCAAAGTTGTAACGTCTTTGTGCTATGATCCCTTGGCAATCTGGTGAAAGCTGGAGACTTTTTATAATATCTATAAGCACATAAAATAAAACATATAGACATAAGAAGTAAATTAACACATTGGAATATTTTATCAAAGAAATTAGAAGTGGGCCTAGAGAGATGGCTCAGTGGTTAAGAGCACTGATTGCTCTTCCAGAAGATCTATTTTTGAGTTCTAGCACTCAAACTGCAGCTCCCAACCATCTGTAACTCCAGTGTCAGTGGATCCAATGCCTTTTTCTGGCTCCACAGGCATCACCTACATGTGGTGCAGAGACATACATGCAGGTAAAACATTCATCCACATAAATAAAAATTTTAAAAAAAGTCAAAATTATCGAGTAGTTGTTTTGATAGTCTACTTTGTTACTTCACATCTGAAGATAAGCAGACAATTAATTGTCCATGTGTTCTAGCTGCAGCCTCATGAGTAAAGCAATTTACTATACTTTTGAAACAAGATGTCAGTTAAACTGATATTTTTGAGGTACCAAGAACAATTCAGTGTGATATAAAGACACATACAAATACTCTAGATGAAAATGGGACATTAGTTTCAATACTACTTTGGTTTACTGCATGTAGTCCCAATGAAAGGAAGTGCAGTTAACATTTTGGTTAAAGGTTGGTACAAAGTAATGCTACTATTAGTTTTCCACTAAAGTGTGGTCCCATTCCCCAAATATCTACCCATGAGCCTATCGGTAACTCTTGGGCACTGAGTTAAAAATCTCTGCAACACAAAAATTCAAAAAGAATCTTGAAAGATAAAGATTAGAAGCTGTGTGTAACCTAATGAAGAAAAAGGGTCTGGGTAACAAAAAATAGACTTTATTTCTATCAGGGGTGAGTGTACAAAGACATAGCTACACCCAAGCAAACTGAAGAGTTTCCTTAATCTTTTATGGATCTCAATGCAAGCTAATTTGGGGTTTGTGGCTTTAGTGCAGAAAAGAATTTCAGGACTAGCCAGCATAAAGAAGAACTAGTGACTTTATTAAATAACTTCCTTGTGTAACCTCAATAGAAGAGATGCACCTAGTCTTGCCAAAGACTTGCAGTCTTGTAATGCCAGGGCTAGTTGTTATTCATGGGATGTCTCTCTTTTTTTGAGGAGAAGGAGAGGTAGGGTGGATGGGGAAGGGAGGATGAGAGTTAGAGACTGGGAGGAGGGAGAGGAAGCTGTGATCAAGATGTTAAAGGAAATAAATAATTTAATAAAAAAAAACAAGAGTGTTCAAGTGATAGCACATGCTGGCAAGGATGTGGAGCAAGAGAAACATCCCTCCATTGCTAGTGGGAGTGTAAACTTGTACAATCATTTTGGAAATCAATTTGACAGTTTCTCAGAAAACTGGAAATAGTTCTACCTCAAAACCCAGCTGTACCACTCCTAGGCATATACCCAAAAGATGTTCCACCATCCCACAAAGACACTTGCTCAACTATGTTCATGGCAACTATATTTGTAATAGCCAGGAACTGGAAACAGACTAAATGACCCTTAACTGAAGAATGGGTAAAGATAATGTGGTACATCTACACAATGGAACACAACTCAGTTATTACAAATGAAGATATCATGGATTTTGCAGGCAAATGGATGGATCTTGAGAATATCATCCTGAGTGAACTAACACAGCCTTAAAAGGACATGCATGGTATGTACTCATTTATAAGTGGATATTAGCCATAAAATACAGTAGTACCCATACTATACTCCACAGACTCAAAGAAGCTAAACAGGAAGGAAGGCCCAAGCAAAGATGCTTGAATCTCAGTTAAAAGATGGAATAAAATAGTCATAAAAGGCAGATGGAGGGAGGGAACTGGGAGATGAAAGAGAGGATGGAGAGGGGAATGGGGGTTCAGTATCAGATGTGGGGAGGCACAGGAGAGATGGCCATGAAAATGAATGGAAATCTGCAACTGATGGGTGGTGGGGAGGTGGGGAACATCTCCAGGATGAGACAGAGACTTGGGATAAACGAGATGTCAAGAATCGATGGAGTTGTCCTTAGCTATGTGGCACAGTATTGGCCATATGAAACCTGAAGAGGCCACCTCCTGTATCCAGGCAGGAACTCCAATGGAGCAATAGGGACAATAAGCCACTCACTAAACTTTCAACCCCAAATTTATCCTATCTGCAAGAAATGCAGGGATGGGGGATGAAACAGAGACCGAGGAAATGGCCAATCAATGACTGGCCCAACTTGACACCCATCCCAAGAGAAATCACCAATCCCTGACACTATTAATGATAGTGTTATGCTTGCAGACAGCAATCTAGCATGATTGTCCTCTGAGAGGCTCCACCCAGAAGCTAACTGAGACAGATGCAGACACTCACTGCCAGTGAATGGAGCTTGGGGACTCTTATGGAAGAACAGGAGGAAGGGTTGCAGCCTTTAAGGGGATAGGATCTCCACAGAAAAACCAACAGAATCAACTAACCTGGACCCTTGGAGCTCTCAAAGACTGACCCACCATACGAAGAACATACACGGGTTAGACCTAGGCTTCCCTGTACATATGTAGCAGATGTGCTGCTTGGTCTTCATGTGAGTCCTGAACAACTGGAGTGGGAGCTATCTCAAAAGCTGTTGCCTGTTTGTGGGATATGTTCTTCTAGAGGGGCTACCTTCTCTGGCCTCAGTGGGAGAGGATGTGCCTAGCCCCATAGAGATTTGATGTGCCAGGGTGGGGGATACTCAAAGGAACCTCCACCTGCTCAGAGGAGAAGGGGAAGGGGGAGGAAGGGAAAGATTATGGGAGGGAGTGACCAGGAAGGGATCACTGAGCAGGATGTAAAGTGAATAAGTAATGATAATGATGATAATAATAATAACAATAACCAGAGCTGTATTTTTCCTCTTTTTTTTTAAAGAGAATTATATGCTGTATCTAGAGACACCTGTGATGGAAATGTAATCTAACATGATTAAAACAAGAAGCTCTTAGAGCTACACAGAAGGTTTAGTGCATTTCTTTTCCCCATAGATTGCTTTTTTGATGAGATTCCTAGAAACATGCAGGTTTAAACATGGAATGGAAAAAAACCTAAAGCAGTTGTCATCTGTTTTAGTTGGGCTTTCTATTGCAGTGAAAAGATACCATGACCACTGCAACTCCTACAGATGAAGGTATTGATTTGGAGCTTGCTAACAGGTTCAGAGGTTTGGTCCGTTGTCATCATGGTAGGAAGCATTCTACACACTGCAGACATGGTGATGGTAAGGTAGCTGAGAGTTCTACATCTGGGTTCATAGGAAGCAGGAAGAGACAGTGGTACTGGGCCTGGCTTCAGCACTGGAAACCTCAAAGCCCACTCTACTCCCCACGATACACTTTCTTTCACAAGATAACATCTATTGCAATAAGGCCACATCTCCTAATAGTGACACTCTCTATAGGGGCCATTTTCATTCAAACTACCTTATTTCATGTCTTGACCCCATAGGCTTATAGCTGTATCATAAAGCAGAAATGCATTCAGTCCAACTTCAAAAATCTCCTTAGTCTATAACAGTCTCAACCCTGTTCAAAAGTTCCAAGTCGAAGGTTTCATGACAATCTCTTTAATCCTACTATAATCACTGCAATCCTTTATAAAATCAAAATAAAGAAGCAGATCATATGCTTCCAACATACAATGGCACAGGCTATACAGTATTACCAAACAGAGAAAAGGGAGCATAATAAAGAAAGACTAAAAACCAGCTGGGCAAACTCCAAGCTCTGCTACTCCATGTCAAAATACTTTTCAGATCTCCAGCTCGTTTCAGCTTTGTTGACTGCTACACATGCCTTTATTTTAGGCTGGGGGCCGATTTCATTCCCTGTTAGCAACTCTCCTTGTTAGGTATCCCATGGCTCTGACATTTCCAATATCTTGGGGTCTCTAAGCTAATTCAGACTTCAAGCTTCATACAATGGACTCTCTGGACTTCCGTGCAGGGACACTTCTGCCACACAGTTAACCTCAATGTCTTTCCCTAGTCTCAGAGGGAGATTTTATGACTCCTTTCTTCTATCCTTGACTTTAAAGCCAGACCCACACTGCTAAAACTCCCAAGTTTCAGCTGCTTGCTGGGGCTGGAACATGGCCCCCTCGTTCAAATACATTTTCACCAGCTTTCTAGTTTGGATGGTTTTCTTCACTGCCTAAACTTGGCTGTCCTAGAACTTGTTCTGTAGACCAGATTGTCCTTGAACTCTGAAATCCAAAGGACTCTGCCTCAGAGTGTTGAGATTAAAGGCATGCAACACCATAACCCCAACCTTTTCTTCAATTCCTTTTCACTAGTTGGCAGCTTATCTGGGTGAGGTCTTACCCTGAGGTCACCACTCCCCTTTACTCCGTTTAACTCAAGGCTTTTCTTTGGTCTGTTTGTGTCTTTGAATTCAGGGTTTATCTTCTTTGTACCCCAGGTGCCCCCTTTCTCCTTGAACCGTATGTACATTTTGTATTTTTCCTTATTTAGCTTGCACCTTTTAATTATAGATTACATAAGGCTGACCACTAATAACCACAGGACACAGTCCACACTAGGCTGTTTTGAAATCTCTACAAATGCAATTAATCCAAAACTCTTCAATTTAAAGCAGCCACATTCAGATTACTCTCAGCACCTTTGTCTTCCACATTCCTACTAGGATGGTCCATTAATGTGATGTGGAGAAAAGGAACACTCCTCCATTGTTGGTGGGATTGCAAGCTGGTGCAACCACTCTGGAAATCAGTTTGGTGATTCCTCCGAAAATTGGACATAGCATTACCTGAGGATCCAGCTATACCACTCCTGAGCATATACCCAGAAGATGCTCCAACATATAACAAGGACATAAGCTCCACTATGTTCATAGCAGCCTTATTTATAATAGCCAGAAGCTGGAAAGAACCCAGATGTCCTTCAACAGAAGAATAGATACAGAAAATGTGGTACATTTACACAATGGAGTATTATTCAGCTATTAAAAACAAAGAATTAGAGGAATTCTTAGGTAAATGGATGGAACTAGAAAATATCATCCTGAGTGAGGTAACCCAGTCACGAAAGAACACACATGGTAATCACTCACTGATAATTGGATATTAGCCCAAAAGCTCGAAATACCGAAGATGCAACTCACAGACTACATGAAGCTCATGAAGAAGGAAGACCAAAGGGTGGGTGCTTTGGTCCTTCTTAGAAGGAGTAACAAAACACTCATGGGAGCAAATATGGAGACAAAACATGGGACAGAAACTGAAGGAGAGGTCGTCTGGAGACTGTTGCACCTGGGTATCCATTCCATGTGTAGTCACCAAAGGTAGATGCTGATGTGGAT